ATGGCTTCGTTTTTGTCAATTTCTTTTTTCTTTTACCTCCCCCAAGCTTATTTGTTTTTTGTGCTGGAAGTTGAACCCCAGGGCGTCATGCATGTAAAGCACACACCACTGAGCCAAACCCCCATGGTCTCACAGGTTTTTTAAGTTTGGTCCAATTTGGTTTTGTTTGGTTTGGATTTTTTTATGTGTGGTTCTGGGAATTGAACTGAGGACCTTAATACTGAGCGACATCCCCAGCCCTTCTTACTTTTTTATTTGGAGAGAGGGTCTTGCTAAGTCAAGGCTGCCTAGACTGGGTGAACTTGCAATCCTGCCTCAGCTTCCCAGTGTGCTGGGATTCTGGGCATGCACCACTACACCTGGTCAGTTTTTTTTTTTTTGGTACCGGGGCTCGAACTCGGGTCCTTGCACTTGTGCAGCAGGTGACAAAACCACTGAGCTAAATCCCCGGCCCACCTGGTCAGTTTTATGTAATTCTTAATCATGTTTAAGATGCTGAGGTTTAGAAGAATGACAGCCATATGATTCATTGCTGTCATCTGCATGCTCCATTCCTTTACAGTGTATATCTGGAATGAGAAAAAATTGTGTTGAAGAGACACTGGGGAAAAGATATGATTACCAGGTAGCTGTTTAGTTTGCAAGATAAATCATGCTATTGCTACACTGAAAAATTCATTGTTGTGTGACATTAAGAATAGATACATAATCTTGTTACCCTGAGCAAGCAATGTGTAATGTACAGAATTACAAAATACTAATATTTCATTAATCGTGCTTAATTCATTTGTGCTTCATTTCCATCACCACTGGGTTCAGTGTTGATGTTTCTTAATTATCTCACATGGGAATTTTAATATTTGCATAGTATTCAAAATGTATCTTTAAAAAGCTACTACCATCTCCGGTACCAAAAAAAAAAAAAAAAGCTACTACCAAAAATTAAATGTAAAAATCTCAATTCTTTTGAAAAGTAGCAAATCTTTGAAAAGGATACTGAGAGAACTGTGAAATGTACTTACATGTAATAATTATTACCATTTAATATATCTGCATGTTCACATCTCTTTTTTTTTTTTTTTTGGTACCAGGGATCGAACTCGGGTCCTTGCGCTTGCGAGGCAGGCGACGGAACCACTGGGCTAAATCCCCAGCCCTGACATCTCTTTTTAAAGAAATGATATGGTACTTAAAAATCCTCTGTGTATAATAAAGTATTGTCACACAAAGGTATCAAAGTGGATAATATATTTTTCCATTGTATTTTAGTATGTACATAGAAACAGTATAGTAAATAAAAATAGGACACAGCTGAGCATGGTGGCACATGAGTATAATCCCAGTGACTCACAAGGCTGAATCAGGAGGATCACAAGTTCAAGGCCAGCCTGAGCAACTTAGCAAGACCCTGTCTCAAAATAAAAAGGGCTAGGAATAAAGCCCAACACTAGAATGCTTGCCTAGCATTCATGAGACCTTGGGTTCAATTCCCAGTACCACCAAAAAGTGACTTCCTTTGGAAGCTCCTTGTAGAACACTATGAATCAAGATTTAGCAAAAAATGCTGGGGATTTAGCTCAGTGCCACCACACCTGCCTCACAAATGCAAGGTCCTGAGTTCAAACCCTGGTACCAAAAAAACCCCCACAAAATTAGCATAAAGTCTGGTGTGCATTTGGTTACTTTATATATATTTTAAAACTGAATAAAAAAATAGAGGTTTTTTTGTTTGTTTGTTTTGTTTTGAGACAGGGTCTCACGCTGTAATTCAGGCTGGCCTTAAACTTACTGTGTAGCCCAGGTTGGCCTCAAACTTGTGGCAATACTGCCTCAGTCTCCCGAGTGCTGGGATTATAGGCATGCACCACCATGCCTAGTAGTAGAGTTTTTAGGATAACTCTCCAAATAATGAGGGATATTAGAACATTGGAGGAATAAATACTTGAGGATAGACTATTTTATGTTTTGTCCAACTGGAGAAATATTGCAAAGTAATAGGTAAATATTCAAATTGAGTGACATTAATAAGTGGTGGTTGTATGGTGTATGTACTTCAGTATTAAAAAATAATTGAAAACCTTTATACAAGCCAAACAAGAACAAAATTAACAATATGCAGGTTCCCTTTATCATGTTGCCATTAGCAAGTTGAAAGAGTATTTTTAAATTTATTGAGAAATTTCTTAGGTATCTTTTGTTACATTTCATTTATTAAATTGCTGCATAAAGTGATAAAGCAAATTTAATATTGCCATGCATGTGATAATTAAAGTTTTTTATTATTCTAGTTCATTAATAAATTGGAAAGAACAATTTTTTTCTTAGTCCCAGAGAATGACTCAAATGTTGCTCTCCCTCTTTCTTGCTCTATTCAATCTCAAAACACCTACCGATAGTTTGTGCTCGTGTGTGTGTGTGTGTGTGTACATATATATTGATGTATATTCTGCTTCTTACAAAAAAATACTATTTTATGGAATTACATTCTCCCCATATAACTTTTAGCATAAACACATTACTGTTTGGGTTTTTTTTGGTACCAGGGATCAAACTCAGGACCTTGCGCTTGCAAGGCAGGCACCAGAACCACTGAGCTAAACCCCAGGCCCAACACATTACTGTTTTGCCTTTGTTTTTTGGTGGTGGTGGGGGTACCAGAGATTGAAGTTGGGACCTTGCACTTGCTAGGCAGGCGGCAGAACCACTGAGCTAAATCCCCAGCCCCTGTTTTGCCTTTGGAATAAAGGAACTATAGCTACAGGGAATGAAACATCCTTAAAGAAGTTCCCAAACATACATCAACATCTTTTATAGGAATTTCATTCAGAGGAGGGAAGGAGAAACAATTGATAAGGAATCAACAAAAGTGAAGAGTACATAGAAAATCTGAGACAAATACATATGACAGTAGACATCAAAAGTATCAATAATCACAGCAATGAACTAATTCCTCCAGTAAGACAGTTGTCAAACTGGATTTATTTATGTATGAATATACACATATACATAATACACACATTCTTTTTGACACATATATAAAGCATAAGGATATATAAAGGTTAGAAGACGTAGGGCTGGGGATTTAGCTCAGTGGTTCCACCATCTGCCTCGCAAGCGCCAGGTCCCAAGTTCAATACCCCCGTACCAAAATAAATAACTAAAACTACAGGAAGATAATACTGCACACCCAGTAGAAGCTAGAATAAAAACCACTGATCATACCAAGTATTAGTGAAGATATAGAGCAACTAGGAATCTCATACACTGTTGGTGGAATTTTAAAATAGTACAAATACTTTGGAAAACAGTTTGGTAGCTTCAGAAAAGTAAATTATATACCTGTCATACAATTCGGCTCTTCATTCTAGATATTTACCCAAAAGAAATAAAATTGTGTATTCACACAAAAACCTTGTACTCAGTAGTTCATAGCAGTTTTGTTGGTAATAGTTCAAAACTAGAAAGAACATAGATGTCCATTAAAAGATAAATGGGTAAGCACCCTTACAGTGGAATTTTGCTTGACATATGGAACCAAAAAAGGACACAGTAACATGGATGAATTTCAAAATAATTATTCTTAGTGAAAGAAGCCAGACCTCCCCAATAAAAGAGTTCATACTATGATTCCATTTATATGAAACTGTAGAAAATGCAACCTAATTTATACTGACAGAAAATAGTAACACAGAGAAGAGGGTCCCTCATATATAAACATCTGTTTTATGTTAAGACATGTAAATGGTAAAACCATAAAATTCTGTGAAGGCACTCTAGAAGAACATCATCATGATCTCAGAGTGTAAATGAATTTCTTAGGGCCCAGAAAGAGGAGATTAAAAAATTTGGTGACATTCAAATTTTAAATTTCTATTTCAAAAGAAACAGAAGAAAAAAGAAAATGAAACAAATACCAGTGAAAAGAATTAGGAGAAAAATATCCATGACAAATAAAATTGACAGAAAATTAGTATCTCTATAGAAATCCCACAGCTCAAAAAAAAGATGACCCAATAGAAAAATGGGCAAAAGATGTGAACAGGTATTTTACATTAAGAGGGAACCCTAGATGATCAATTTTCATGTGAAAATACAATCTTGTTATTATTCAGGAGTATATTATAGCCAAAGCTACAGATATTTCCTGTCCCCTCCCTCCCATGGTTAAAAGTCTAGGAGTCTTAACTGTATCAAATACAGGCGAAGATACAAATCAACCAGAATGTGTCTTGGTTCTTAGAGAATAAATTGTTACAAACACATTGAAAAACTATTTTGCATTATCTGCTGAAGTTAAAGATGTGTCAACTCCAAAGTCCAAAGAGTTCCACATCCACGGCTATACACCAGAGAAGGTAGCAAGAGCTTTGTGTAAGAATGTTCCCAGCAGCACTTTAGTGAAAAACTAGAGGCGGTCCTGATTGGATCAGCATTATAATAGATGAATTGTGATGCGGCTCTGTGCTGTGAAAAAGAATGAATTAACAGAGCAACAAGGAAGAATAGCCAAAAACTACTAAAAAATCTAAGCCAAAAACTGGAAAAGAATACACAAAGTGTGGTTACACTTTTAAGGATATGAATAAATGTAAAACTATGAAGAAAAGTAGATAAGCACAAAATTCCAGAAATGGTTACTTAAACAAAGGGATGGAACATGATAAGGGAAAAAAACAACTCTGGCCCACTGGGGACTTCAAAACAATAGTAATATTCTTGTTCCATAATTAGATGTTTGTATCATATTTTATGCCTTTGAATCTCTATAATATTTAATAGTTAATTATACTTAAAATAAGTATAAATTGCAGAATTTAGTATGTGAATCATAGAATACTTAATCTTGTACCTCTGCCGGACAACTATGCTTTTTTGAAGAAAAGGTAATTCATGAGTTTTAACCCATTGCTTATGTTTAATGATTTAAATTTGTTTGTTAAATGGAAATGTCCTTTTTTTTTCCCCCTCTTCCCCCTGCCCTGATGCTCCTCATTGCATAGGAGAAATTTGAAGCACTTTTCTCCCTCTATGATGACCAAGTTACATTTCAATTATTTAAAAGCTTTAGAAGAGTCAGAATAAATTTCAGCAAGCCTGAAGCAGCAGCAAGAGCTCGAATAGAACTCCATGAAACAGACTTCAATGGGAAGAAGCTGAAGCTGTATTTTGCACAGGTACTGCATGGTGCAGAGGACACTGTTCTCCTTGCTGCTTGTTTTCCACCCACAAATACTTCCAGTTGACCATTTTCTATATTATTATATCAGAGATTTTTTTTGAAGTGAAAGATCCCAATCAGCAAGTGATGTAAAAAATTTTTCCTTTTAGACCTTTGACCAAGACCAGTAGTGAAAGGAATTCATTTTTCTGGCTGTTTTGCTCAGCTGGGGCTCTGAGAGTTAAGCCCTGACACCATGAGGTGATGAATTAACTTTTCTTCTCTGCATCTACAGTGGCACTCATCATGCGACATCCTTGGGAAAATGCAGAAAATAGTCTCTCTTTTTTTTTGGTATTTAAAAATTTTATTTATTTATTTTATCCCATTCTCCCCCCCGCCCCAAGCCCTCTCCCTCCCTATGTACAAAAGCTTTGGTTATATTTTTTCCTTCTATTTTCACTTTTTGTTTTTGGTACCAGGGATTGAACTCAGGACCTTGCACTTGTGAGGCAGGTGGCGGCACCACTGAGCTAAATCCCCAGCCCTCTATTTTCACTTTTTTCTTGTCCCTTTCTTCCTTTCTCCCTCCCTCCTCCCTTGTTCCCCTCCCATTTGAACACTTTCTTCTCATTTCCCAATATCTATTATACATCTCAGTCCTTATTTACAATTTCAGTTTCTCACACCAGAGAAACAAAGCAGTATTTAAACATGTGTGTCTGATTTATTTCACTTAAGAGTATGGTCTCAAGGTCCATCCATTTAGCTATAAATGTCTGAAGTGTATCCTTCTTTATGGCAGAGTAGTACTCCATTGTAAAAAAAAAAAACAAACCACATCTTCTTTATCCACTCATCAATTGACAGGCATTTGGGCTGTTTCCAAGATTTAGCTATTACAAACTGTGCTGTTATAAATATGGGTATGCATATATCACTGTGGTATGTAGATTGTGATCTGTGGTATTCTTTTGGGAGAAACGAAGAAGAGGAATAGCTGGGTCAAATGGAACTTCTAGTTTTGGTTTTTTGAGAAATCTCCACACTGATTTCCACAGTGGTTGCACCGGTCTACACTCCCGCCCACAGTGGAGAAGGGTTCCTTTTTCCCTACAGCCCCTCCAGCATTTGCTATTGGTTGATTTCTTGATAGCAGCCATTCTTTCTGGAGTGAGGTGGAATCTCAGTGTTGTTTTCATCTGCATCTCTCGAATGACCAATGATGTTGAACGTTTTTTCATATATTTATTTGCCATTTCTAATTCTTCATCTGAGAATTATCTTTTTATTTCAGATGCCCATTTTTGCATTGGGCCTTTAAATTGGGGGGGGTCTGATTTTTTTGAGTCCTGTATATATTCTAGATAATAGTCCTTTTTCTGAATAGCTGCTAAAAAGAAAAATAGTCCTTTGAATCATTTCCTGTGTTTGTGACTCTCGGGAGGAATACTCAGGCCAAAAGCTGCTCAAGTGATAACCAGGAGGGGGAGTATAGTGTACAGAATGGCTGTCTTATTTGCAGGGCTGCTAACATTTGCCTCCTACTTCTATTCCTACATGGGCATAGCTCTTTGAGAGACCTTTTTTTTTTTTTCTCAAAAGAACTGACCATATAAGGTCTTAAATCTCTAAAGAATGAAGTGCACTATTCTATTTTCCAAGAAAGTATTTTTTTCTTGGTCTTAGCTTTCAAATAAAAACGAGAGGTTTATTGTTTTACATTCCAAATGAAAGCTAAATGCAAGAGTTGTCGAGAAATTTCCTAGTAGTCTCTTAAGATGGAGTTCAAAATATGATAGTTTTGGGCCAGGGATTTAGCTCAGTGGTTCCACCACCTGCCTCGCAAGCACAAGGTCCTGAGTTCGATCCCCAGTACCAAAAAAAAAAATGATAGTTTTATCTCTTCTATGATTATAATTTAGTTGTGTGTTAGCCAGCTTTCTAACAAAAACCTGAGATAATCAATTTGGAGAGAGCAATGCTTTGTGATGGCTTACAGTTTTGAGGTTTCAGCACATGCTCAGTTGTCCTTGTTGCTTTGAACTTTTGGTGAGGGCGGCACATCATGGCTGAGCACATGGCAAAGCAAAGCCACTTACCTCATGGTGGGGAGGCAAAAGAGGAAGAGAAAGGGCCAGGAATCCTGCTGTCCTGTCCAGTGTGTGCCCCAGTGACCTGGAGCCCTCCGGCTAGGCCCTACCTTCCAAAGGTGCCATCCCCAGTGCGGCATCCCCTGGGAGCGGGGCTTTAGCATGGGACCACTGGGGGGCGCTGAAGATCCAGACCATAGCAAGGGGTCACTGGCATGTACTTCCTTGTTCATCTCTTCACCCATGTATTCTTTGGTTCATTGAGTACCTAATGTATGTGACCCCTTGTGTGGTGAGTCACATGGACCAAGTCCCACCTTCTTGGTGATCATAGACCATTTGGAAAATTTTTTAATTTTCTCCAAAAGTAGTAACAACATAAAGATGGAAATGAAGAAAAAAATGGCCCCATTTGCAAAGCGCTCGCAAGCATCTCCTGGCCCGCAGGTGCAGATGTCTGGTGAAGCCCGGGACAGATCCTACCTACGGCCGCCACAGCCCGCCAAGCAGTTCCTCATCTCCCCACCAGCCTCTCCTCCCGTGGGCTGGAAGCAGAGCGAGGATGCGATGCCTGTGATCAACTACGATTTACTCTGTGCCGTTGCCAAACTGGGGCCAGGTAACGAACTTCTGCTTTTTCCTGGTTTTGTCCTAGGAGTTTAAGACTGTATTCACGCCAGGGCTACTGGTGCACACCTGTAATCCCAGCACTCTGGGAGGCTGATCCAGGAGGATCATAAGTTTGAGCCCAGGCCTGGCAATTTAGCAACTTGGCAAGACCCTTTCTCAAAAATAAAAATTTAAAAGGGGCTGAGAATGTGCCCCAATGTGAAGGCCCTAGGTTCAATCTCCAAGACCATAAAAAACAAAGATCATTATTTGGCAACACGACAGAGGGCACAGTCACGTGGGCCTGGGTTCAGATTCCAGTTCTGTGATCCTGAGCAGGTTGCTTAGCTTCAACTTTCAGACTATTCATTTTCTTTTCCCTCCCTATAACAGAAAATCCTAATATCTACCCAATGCAGTTATGAGTTAAATGCTATGTGTGTGACACTCAGTAAGTGTACCTTCAGTTATCACTGTTACATTCTACTGGGACTTAACACAGGCAGTTAGTGACTACTAGTTGCCTTCTCTCCCCACCCCACCAAGTACTAGACAGATGGTAGCTACTTTCAATATATTCCAGGGAATTAAGGGTGATGTCACATCAGCCTTCTGGTTTTTTCTCTTTACTTTCATTTATTTTTCATTTCTTACTTTCTTTCCCTCTCTCATCCCTTTACATTTGATTTTAGCCAAAAGGCCAAGAATAGATCTCTCATCCCTTTAAATTGATATAACAAACTGATTCCATGCTGGTTCAGACTAGCTATCCACTGCAGACAGTTTTGTGTCTCTCACAGGGGACATGAGAGGTCTTTGAGGAAAAGGGGCACACTGGTGTTTTCAGACCTCAGAGGTCTGAAGTCGGGGAACAAAGGAATTGCCAGTGCTGCCTGGGCCCTTGCCAGTGCCTCCCAAGGGGAAGCAGAAACCATTAGGCAGATCCTTTCAAATTATTCACGAATAGTAATTACCATTTACATTTTAACCCCAAAGACCTTGAGACTATAATAACAATATTTTATAAGAGCCTTAAAGTATTGACTCTCAGCCAGGCATGGTGGTTGGTACATGCCTGAAGTCCCAGCTACTCGGGAGGCTGAGGCAGGAGGATCACAAGTTTAAGGCAGCCTGGACACTTAGTGTAAGAACCTGTCTCAAAATAAAAACTACAGTTGGGCGTGGTGGTACAGCACCTGGGAGGCTCAGGCGGGAAGATTGTAACTTTGAGCCCAGCCTGGGCAATTCAGTGACTTATTGAGACTTTATCTCAAAATACTAAAGAGTGGAGGGGAAAAAAAAAAAAAGAGTTGAGGATGTAGCTTAAAGCAAAGGGCCAAGATGCAATCTCAGTAGCACCTGAATAAATAAATGAATGGGGTACAGTGCCTGTCTAGCATGCATGAGGTCCTGGGTTCAATCCTTAGCACAGACGTGAGGGGCTAAAGTATAAAATCTCTGACACCAAACCAGGAGTAGTGATAGTGCAGGCCTGTAATCGCAGTGCCTGGGAGGCTGAGGCACGAAGATCTCCATTAGTTCAAGGACAGCTTGGGCCATACACAGTGGGTTCATGGCCAGGCTGAACTACACAGCAAGCCCTTATCTCCAAAGACCATAAATAAATAACTTTAAAAATAAAATATCTAATGCCAAAGCTGTTACTCTGACATGAAGATTTTTTTAAAAATCACCAGCAATAAGAATATTAGTAGAATATGGAGTTCTGAGACAAAACGTGTTTGCTGGAAGTGAGGCTTCCCCGCGGTTCTTCTGTGCTTGCCTCGGCAGGGGAGAAGTACGAACTGCACGCGGGAACCGAGTCCACCCCGAGCGTGGTGGTGCACGTCTGTGAAAGCGAAACCGAAGAGGAAGAAGAAACGAAAAACCCCAAACAGAAAATCACCCAGACTCGGCGCCCCGACCCTCCCACCGCAGCGCTGAACGAGCTACCGACCTTCCACTGTGCGCCCTGAGGCCCTGGTGCGGTGTGGGGAGGCAGCTGTGCCACTGCACCTTAGGGACGAGGCCTCCTCCTGGGAGGCGGCCCTGCAGGGCGGGGCGGGCGCTCTCCAGCCCCCCAGTGCGCCTGCGCTGGGCAGGGAGCTGAGCGGTCGTTTCCTGTTTGAATTTTGAGTGATGTCCTAAATGGCACTTTAAAGGATTAGGCCCCAAAATGTGGCAACTCATGACCTTTTTAAACAGTAGCAACTGAGGAAAATGCCCCCTCCCCGCCAACTTTAGTTCCCGATTGCATATAGCATGAGATACCGAAAACCAGAATTATAATTACCCAGCACAGTAGCATTTTTACAAATTTAAAAAATCTTCAATTTTAATAACCTGGTGTGGGTATTTTTGTACTGGTATAATGGCTTCTAACATATATTGATGAAAGGTTGTTATTCAGTATATGTAGCATTTTTTGTCCGAAGAGAAATACAGAATAATTCCCAAAAATGCATAAAATTCATTTTCTGAAGTATTTTCATTAGCTTTGGGGGAAGAACTGCCAAATCCACTCCAATCATCGGAACTGAATGGCACAGGTCAAAGTGTGTGCTGAATGTAATGTGCATTTGGGCAACTCGTAGTCTTTACATTAGAAAACAATAAGATTTTCTGAAGACCATTTAAAAATTTTTTCCATCTAAACATTTTCAGCCTGCTTAGGAAGTAAAGTCATACATACTATTTTTTTATGAATTAGGGGATGAGGGGAGAGATCATGCTTTTCTTTTTGGGTGACTTTTTTTTAACCTTAGCTTGCAGTTAACATTTTTCTCTAAAATAGAATTGTTTCCTGCTTGTGTTTCAGAATGTATGATGGAACCTCCTAACGTAGCAGCAGAGATCTTTTTGAGCTTTGGGGCCTATTCCCTCATATAAAAATCTCATGACTAAGGCTGTTTGCTTTGGGCCACCTGGCTCTGTTGTTTATGTGGCAGATGCTAGGAGCTCCCTGGTATCTCTGGGAAGGGCTTGCTTTTCATTTAGAACTAATAAACCAAAGTGGCTGTCACTCCAAAGAAAAAAAAGTGGAGAAATTCAAGCTATGGTATTTGTATATTTTGGTAACATGTTACTGTGGTTTAGTTTTCATTATGGTAGAATTTCTTTTTTTCATTCTTTCTTTTTTTTTTTGGTACTGGGGATGGAACTCAGGACTTGTACTTTCGAGGCAGGCATGGTGCCACTGAGCTAAATCCCCTGCCCTAGAATTTATTTCTTAGGATTTAAACTACACTGCATACACACACAAACACAAGTTTCTCTTTTCCTTGCCATCAAATATTGTGAGATGATAAACTTCTCTTTTATATATTCACCACTGCTAATGTAAAATGTAAATTCATTTGAAATTTACAATTCATAAGCAACTTATTTATTAAATTCAGATTGTCACTTGTCAATTTAACTGACAGCCACTCAATAAATTTATTCTCAAATTTTTTTTGGAGGTGGAGTGAGTTACTGTGTTGTCCAGGTTGGTCTCGAACTCCTAGAATCAACTAATCCTCCTGAGCTCTGAAACTACATGTGTACCCAACTCCACTTGGTAATTGTGGACTCAGAATTTTGCCTCTTTTTGATTGCAGGATAGGCTTATCTGTCAAGAAATATATACCAAATATCAACAGTTGGGATTTTTTTTTTTTTTTGAGACAAGATCTCACTGTACAGCCCAGACTGGCCTCCAACTTGTAATCCTCCTACCTCTGCTTCCCAAGTGCTGAAATAACAGGTATGCATCACCACACCTAGCTTCAGTTGGGAAAGTTTTTCACTATAATTATCTAAGTAATCAAAACCCATGATGTTTTGTTATTTGGCTTAGCTTTCATTCTCCACCTGTCAATTAAAAAACATTGGAAGCTTTTTTTTAAGTTAAGTAGTACAAACTATTCCAATTTCTTTTTCTTCTGAGAGAAAGCTTTAAATCAAAATTGTGTGCGTGTGTGTGTGTGTGTGTAGAGCCAAACTTTTCTGAATGGTGAACGTTAAGGTTTTTTTCTAGTGTAATATTTCTACAAGGTTGATTCTAAAATAAAAATTATTAAATGCCCATCAACTTTTTAATATAAAATCAACCAGTATCTCAAGGTCTCTTGTCTGTTTTGGGCTATTTTATATCCAGTTCATGCAGGCATTTTATAAGTGATAAGTTGCCTGTATCATTTTTTAAAGTTCTTACAAGATCATCTGCATTTTTTTCTTCTTAGAAGTTATTTCTTTAATTTAACTGTTAGCCTAGTGCCCATGTTTTCTTTAGAAATCATAACCTGTCCATGGAAGTCAAACTGCAGAGAATGTTGTGAAGAAAGAATGGTGCTTTGTGTTGGGAAGAGCATGAAAACCCACGTCGCTGTTGTACCAAGGTGAGCTAACCTAACTGCAGCACACTGGCCCTTGTGCTCTATTCCTCCAACACCACCCGATGGAGCCAGAGAGGAATCCACTTAGAAAGCTCATGCCAAGCAGATGCTAGGTTTCAGGTGCTGAGGGCCAGAAGTGGGTCAGAACAGCTCCCTTGCGTTGGAGAGAGAACTACCAGGCAGAGAGGAAGCTAGTCTTTTCATGTCCTTCAAAATGTTCTACACAAAAACCTATTGAAAATTAGAGCTAAATCAAAGCTATGAGCAACTTTTAGGTTCAACATGAAAGGGTGTTCAATGCAGTGTTCAATAGAACACTGTAGTCATTATGAGATGTTTGAATTGAAAAATGCCAGGAGTCAGAGGGCAAGTGCAGTGCTTTAATTCTGTAAGGATAGTCTTTTTTGCTTCCATTCATATTAATTCCATCTTTTCATATGTCATGATTATAAAGTGAGACAATTTGGTTTTCTAGGAATCTTAATTGCAGAGCTGAAGATAGCTTTGGGAATTGTATGGTCTAATCTCCTGTTACACATATTAGAAGCCAGGGTTGCGGGACTAGAATCAGCATTTTAATCCCTCTTCTACTTTTTCTTGCATCGGCCTTTTCAAGAGGCAGCAAACATGAACCCCTATCATAAAGCCCAGGGACAGAAGTGACAGAATCCTTTCTCTCTTGAGAGGACACAATGAATAAGGAATGGATTTTTTTTTTTTAACTTCCCTGAGCTAGGCATGGTGGCACACACCTATGATCCCAGCAGTCTGAGAGGCTGAGGCAAGAGGATTGCAAGTTCCAGATCAGCCTGGGCAACTTATAATTTAGCAAGATCTTGTCTCAAAAAAGGCTAGGGCCGGGGATTTAGCTCAGTGGTTCTACTGCCTGCCTCAAAAGCACAAGGTCCCGAGTTCAATCCCCAGTACCAAAAAAAAAAAGGCTAGGGATGTAGCTCAGTTCAAAGGCCCTAGGTTCAGTGCCCAGCACCCCCCCACACACACACAAAAGTCTTGTGAGAGAGAGCAATTTAGTAATTTTAATTAATAAGTCTGATGTTCCATAGTTTGTGTTTTTTTACCATTGAGGTACAGGATTAGAATCTCCCTAAATAATGTTATCTTGGTAGCCAGCAGTTACCTTGGCATTTTATGCAGGCTTTCCTGGATGTTCAATAATAATGAAATGAAAATATAGTCATGGTTCAGATGTGATCCAGTGAAGCAGAATGAGGTCACAGTTTGCTGTGGAATGATACTCTGTGCTTGCAAACTGAGTCCTATTCACGATGGAAGACAGACCAATGGTTTATATTCTAATATAGATTATGTCATAGATCATGGTTTTATTTTTAATAGGAAAATCTCAAACATAACTAAGTAATGGAAAGTGTCCTAAATTCTGCAATGCATTAGGTTCACTGTCTGTTAGATTTCTCTCTCATTTCTCCAGAGTCATGGACTTCATACCTGTCAGACAGATGAACTTGGTCCATCTTGCCTTTGGTCCCCCCTGTTGTGCTCGTGTTTTGCACATTTGCATTTACATTTTCTTGTATTAAAGGAAACAAATTGCTCATGATTAGTGTGACAACATGAAGGAGCAGTAGACCTGGGAAATAGTTGCTTCTAGCTGGGGAAGTCAGTGTTGCAGAAACTCACTTTTTAAGAAGAAATTGAAAGAAAAAGATAGATGAACCTTGGCCAACAGTTTACAAATACCTATTTGTTTTTTAAATACTCCTTGGAATGCAGACTAGCTAGAATGTCTTCATCCACATACCATTGTTCAATCATGAATCAGAGGAAAAATTTAATTTGGAGAGTGCTGCTCTGATTACCAAGTATATAAATAATAAGACAGCTGTAAGCAGTGGTAACTGCTAAGTTCACTGACCAAAAAACATAAAAATCATGTTCAGAGTAGAGTTTCTAGGGGTTGGGGATTTAGTTCAGTGGTTCCGCCGCCTGCCCTGCAAGTGCAAGGACCTGAGTTCGATACTTGGTACCAAAACAAACAGAGTATAGAGTTTCTAGTCAAGGTTAAATACTCTTGGAGGGCCGGGGATTTAGCGCAGTGGTTTTGCCGCCTGCTGCGCAAGCGCAAGGACCTGAGTTCAGTCTCCGGTACCAAAAAAAAAAAAAAAGAAAAGAAATACTCTTGGGCTTGTCTCTACCTATTTAGATAAAAATTCATTGATGCACACCCATAATCCCAGCACTCGGGAGACTGAGGCAGGAGGGTAGCAAGTTCAGGGGCAGCCCAGCCTGGGCCACATAGAGAGTTCCAGGCTATCCTGGATATGAGCAAGTCCCTGACTCTAAATAAATAAAATTCAAAAACCTTGCACTAAAGCAGACTTGTGGTCTATTGTGGAAACTGGCACTTCCTGTTGAAATAGTCATGTTCTGCAAACTCTTGGAACTCCTTCCTGCATGGCCTTGAATGTTCATTCTTGTTGTATGGAAGATTTATATCCATCTATTCAGATAATATGTGATTTCTATATTGTTTCCTGTGTAGTCCTCAGTCTTCCTAACTCACACTGGGGACAGGAGAGGTCGAGGTAGCCAGTCCTCTTATTGTGCCATATTCTCCCCTTGCTTCTCACCTCTGAGTAAGACTGACATCTCTTCTCCATCGTGCGTGTCCTTTGAGTGTAAGGAAACTCTCTCAGTCATTTCACTTTCATCTGAATTAAACCGGCATTGAATCTATTATTTCATCTGAACATGTTTATGATCTGGTGTTATATTTGGGGGCACGTTACCTTTCTGGTACTGTAAGCTGTAGTCCATACTCACAGACTTCAGAAAACTGGTCAGTAATTTACATGTACGTGTCCCATACTCTAGTGTGCTTGAAGTGACGGTCCATAGCGTGTAGTAATTTGTTAACTGTCAACTTTAACTCTCCTGTGTTTTGAGAACCACTAAACATTCCTTGTCCTATCAAGATGACAAAAGCAGAATGTAATTTTGGGGGGAACCTTCGTGATTACTCGTGACAAGTTTTGTTTTTAAAACTAAAAATAAAGTTAGCTCATTTTTTAATCAGTCTATTGAATGGAGTCCTCTGTGTGTAATATTTTCAATCTGTATCTGTATCGCTTACATTTAGGTCATAATAAAAAAGTCAGGAAAATGAAATATTACATTTGTTCCTCTAACAAGAGTCCTGTTGAACACAAATGCTGTTCTGGGCCAGAGTTCAGGGCCAGGCGAGGTGAGTCACCGCCGTCTCTGTAAATAACCACACCATTCAGCTCTTCACCAAGAAGAGGTTTTGCCCTAGTTTACTCCTCAGTTGAAAATGATTTATTCCCGGGAAAGACTTGTTTTCTCTCGGTAAAAAAAAAAAGCCGTAAAAATCTCCAAAACACTAAAACTTGAAGTGACTGTTGAGGTTCTCTAGTATTTTAATATTTATTTTTAAGCCATAGAATCTGCTGTCCGTTAAAATGAAATCTTACATGATGCCCAATGTAAAATTGATTACAAAAGAAAGAAAGAAAAGAAACAAAAGGTGAAAAGAGATGCTCCATTTGAAGGTGGGGGTGATGTGGGGAACGGTGGGGCTGTCACCTGCTCTGGGCCCCTTCTTCCCCCCAGCCAGCCACACGGGCCCCGCCCAGTTCACATGGCTGAGCCAAGCCAGCCTGGGACTAGAAACCAAGACTCCCGTTTCCCCCACCACTCTCGACTCCACCGTTAGACTGGAATCTCTCCTTTTTCTGGAGAAATGTATTAAGATTCAAAGGCACTTGATACTGTTTTTGATAATACTACAGCAGAGCTCCTGCAGTTCTTTCTACTTTCACAGGGGCCTCTCCAAGCTGTGTTGGGGAGGGGGCAGCCTCCAGGTGGGGCTGTCTCCCTCCTTATTTGTGGTATGTAGGCTCTTAGCATCAGATTCCACCTGAGCTAAGGATTCTTTGGTTAAAATAGCAAGCTGGAAAACCACTACAAACATCCTAAGGAGAAAACAAATTTTAAAACACAAAAAATACAAGAATAAAATGTAAGTAATTTACCTCCTAAAAGTAGACTGACTCAAATTCAACAGTCTCTGTATCAGCA